AAGGTCTTCCTAGCAAATTAATCTTTGGTCATGTCATAGTATGGCTGGTAGCAATTGATTCCTTGCTGTATTTTTACATCACTCTGCCAAAGAAAATCCCTAAGATTGTTCTAATAGTATTTGACTGAAATATGAAATAATGTATAGTGCCACTAACTGATATTCTATATGTATTCTGGGCTTTTAATTTGTGCGAATGGTGAGGAAAGTTAATGAGTGACAAAATGAAAACTGAATATTTTGAAAATGTATGCTCAGGAATAAAATATCTGAACTATTCTAATTAGTAAAATGTAATGCTAATGAAAGAGTGTCACAGGTTCATATATAAAACTAAACTCATAATAATTGTATCAATAATTGGCATAAGAAAGTATCTTTTTCTAAATACTTAGAGCTTTTTAATAAAAATTATTGGACTAATTTTTTTAAAAGTCTGAATTTATAAACTTATCTAATTTGATTTTATAAAGTTTGGACAATTTACAGAGAAAGTTTATTTTTGGTTTTAATAAATTATATAATCATTTATTTACCATGTTTGAATTATTTCATATTTCAAATTAATTTGGTCTGTGGACTAAAGAAGGATATATGTATGTTTCATAAGAATTCATTCATTGGAAAAACAAGCACCACATATTCTCAGTATCAAATTGGTATTAACTGATCAACGGTTAAGTGCACATATAGTAATGACATTCACTGGGTGTCAGGCAGATGGGAGGGGGGAGGAGGTGATGGATATATACACACCTAATGGGTGCAGTGCATACTGTTTGGAGGATGGACATGCTTGAAGCTCTGACTCAGGTGGGGCGAAGGCAATATATGTAACCTAAACATTTGTACCTCTGTAATATGCTGAAATAAAAAAAAATTAAAAAGAATTCATTCATTATAAAAAGTCTATCAAGTACCCTCATCTGTTTCCTGTAGTGTCAGATTCTGAGATATAGTAGATAATAAGACAGTCATGCCTTTACCCATATATTTGTGTTTCTGAGTATTAAAACATGTAGAGAAGAAAAGAATTATTTACAGTTATGTGATGTCTAAGAAAATGTGGATTTAGTTTCAGTAAAGTTGGGTAGCACCGCTTGATGCAGTGAATAAAAGAATCCCAAGCACAAATGTACACATCAAGACAGAGATATGCTGGCAAGATGACAGGGGTAGATATGGACAGAGAGATACCCAGATGGTTAGTGTGGTCATGTGTGAGTTTGAGCAAATTTTTTCTTTTGTCAGACCTTCAATTTCTTATTTTTAAAGTGAACAATAGGACCAGATTTTGAAGGCCCATTCCCTTTCTGGTATTAGATATTAGATGACTATAATAGATTTTCAGTTCTCATTCTGGATTCCATAGCCAGTGTTGCCAGTGTGCCAGAGCAATGTCAGTTTAGACATCTAGATATTGTAAGAGCTAGGACTAAAACTGGGTCTTAAGACTGGTAATTATTACTCTGTACAAGGCCTATCAAGTAGTCTTTTTATTCAGGAGTCTACTACCCAGTTTCTTAACCTCAATAGATTAATCTTTATATAGAAGCAAGATAAATTGAAACATAATGAAAACAGAACTGTATAGTGGGTACTCTCCGATAACTTGAAAGATCAAAATTGACTCTATTCAGATGATGTTCCTCCCTGTGGATTCGAGGGCACGACATAAGGGGGAGTTCTGGTCTAGACCGTATCTCCTGAGTCAGTATTTTCCAGTTCTGAAGGAAAAAGAAGTAAGTGTATAGGCTAGGAGATTGGAAATCAGAGAGAGCAGTGGTAATAGGATAGGAGACAGCAGGAGATTAGGACAAGAAGCCTAATAGGCCAATGAGAGGCCAGCAGGGAGAAACTAGTTCTTACTGGCTTGGGTAGGAAAAGTTGGTAACTCCACCATACACATGTGGATACGAAAATAAGTCGTATTTCTTTTTGATGTCTCTGAGGAATGTAGCTGGCATAGGATGCCTGGCCAGCCATGAGTTTAGAATGCAACTGGCTTGGAACTTTCAGTGTCCTGATTGGTAGAGGAGTACATCCAAGCATCTGGGAGAGAAATCAAGCCAGCCCATGCTGACTGTGTAATCAGTTCTTTAATCTTAAAGCAAAATGATAGGAAATAAGGAAGAAATCAACACAGAAAAAAGCATTGGCTCAGACAATGGGCCTTGAGGAGATGCCAGACCTGAAGAGCACAGTTACAGCCACTGTATTGCCTTCAGGGACCCACTCTTCCATGATGACAAGGTTTATCACTTGTAGTAATCAAAGGGTCAGCAAATAATTTTATTAAACCATGAAATCATAGGAAATTCAACAAATTTGAATAGAAAATATTCTGTGTTTTCAATATCTGTGCCCTTCATTAAATTATCATAATCTCCTTGACATGACATTTGTAAGAGTATCTAGAAATATGCCTGCCACATTCCTGAGCTCTTGGTGAGTGTTACTTTCTCTTCTTTCCCTTGTTTCTTTCTTAATAATTTATATTTGCTGAGAACATCAAAATGTCTTCATTGTATTAAAAGGGAAGAAACCTTGGAAGAATCCAAAGTTTTATTCAAGATAGTCATTCTAAAATAAATTAAGTATTTTTGTTTAGTCCTCAGCATATTTGTCTAAATGAGAGCAGATAGGGGAGATGGATATATTATCTGTTTGATTCTCCTAATGGTTTATTGCTATAATTATGTAAATTAAAGTTTTTCTATTTGTTCATAAGAAACATAAAATATGAACCTTCATTTATATTTTGGGTACTTGAAAAGAAAAATAAATAAAATTTCACCATGACAGTTTCTAAATTCAAAGAAAATTAGTTTCTCTCTTCTTAATGGAGAATATTCAGGGAAGCAAGATGCTTATGCACATACTTTGACATTATCACCTGAAGCAGTAACTATTAAGTTGTCTTGTCAAGTGCTGCTTGGCTTGCATTTTTAATAATATTTTTGGTACCCTGGACTTTGTACAGACAAGAGTGTGAATTGCTTGGCTTATAGTCTTGGAAGATGCTGCTATTCTGTTTGCTTTTACTTGCTAACAGGATCCTCCTGGATTATATGATGCAGAAATAGATCTTCTACAAGTGATTCAAGTAAAAAAAAAATTAAATCCATTTGTGTTTTGTATTGGAAAACCATCACAAAATCAAACAAATATTTGAAAAAGAACCAAGTCAGCATTTTGATTTCCTTCTTTTAAGAAGAGCTTTTTAATGTTATTTTCCCTTTTGCTATTTCAAATAATATGCATTTAATTAATCTTGTAAATAGATATTTTTTACCATTTTCATTTGGTTAGTTGAGGTAGTCTTTTGCATCAAATATTAATCATGACACTTAAGTGTCATTTATAATGAAGAGATTGATATACTAAATCACTTGGGGAAGAAAACATAAGTAGTTTAATGACAATGCAGAAATAGACAGCTGGTTTAGAAAATCAGGGGCTAACTAGAGTTTATGTATATTTTGAGAGAGTACAAAAACAAGATTAATGGAAAGAACTAAGGCTTTTCATGACACTATAATGTGAAGGTTATTAGGCAAGTTAAAATCTTGATGTCTATCTCTTGTGAATTTAAGGAGCTCAGTAGTTTTATCTCATTAGCACTTTTTACTTATGTTTGGGATGGCAGCTAGACTTTTGAGAAGGGCTACCCTAGGTGTATAATTTATTTGCATTTCTTGTGCCACCACGTTTTTCACATCTTTGGTCATTGAACAGAATCAATAAATAATGTTGTATTTAATTTCATGTCTAAAGAAATGAGTTTCTGTGAAGTTTTTTATGTATAACACTCAATGTCTGAAATCACACATTCTGGATTTATTGAAAATCAGTATGATTTCATTGTATTTCAGGGCATATTGTATTGTATTTCAGGGGCATTTTAAAGGTTTAAAACAAAATTTATATATATATTATTTTTGCACACGTAGATGTTGTACAGGTTTAAGAAATTTCTTAAGTTATAATGACATCTTTACAAAGGATAAAAATTTGGTTCTATACTGCTCAGGAAGTGGTTGTGGTACATTGAGATTCTCAAAACTGGAGTGTTTTACTAGAAAAGAGAGATTTATGTCTCTTCTTTGAGTAAATAATATTCCAGAACCTATATAAACCATACTTAATATTTTTTTACTTACTGTATACCCTCAGAATTCTTGACGTCATTAAACATAAAATAATGTATTAGTAAGAATTAATGCATTCCCAGGATATAATAGGAAATCACTTAGTATTCAAAATGACAAGGCTATCCATATTACTGAACTATAATTTTTATCTCTATTTTATATTCATCTCTATCTTTGCATCTGTGGATAAATCTATAAATAAGTATTTAGCTATCCAACTCATGAAAGCATCCTGAAGATGGTTTCAATGAAATAAAGATCTATTATTAATTTTAAATTAATGGATTTTCTTTCAGATTTACATTGATGTGTTATTTGTAACATGACAGAATTAAATAAATGACTGTGTTTTCATATTTACATGTTTCTCCCTTCTTTTCCACATTTACTCTTCTTATTTTCTTTTTTTTAAAACTGTAGTTTCTTTCTTCTCAAACTTTATCCTATTTGTTTATATACTGATCTTTCTTCCAAATATACCTACTGTCCTTTCTCTGTTCCTTATTGTTAACTTCTTTTGTTAACTTTCTTTTATTTTCACTCTGAAATTTATGCTTTTTTTTTTTTTTCTGGGGCATATTCATATATGTTTACGTCAACTCATACTGGAGATAATGAATAATAAGTTCTTAATTTTCTTAATTAAAAATATGTGATTCTCTTCTCCCAATACTTTATATCAAGATCCTTTTCACAATACTATATATTGATGCTACAGCTATTTCCCTATCTGAATTAGTTTTCTTTAATAATTTTTTGCTATATTTCCTGGCTAGAAAAATAGAAAAATAGAAAAAAAATCTATTTTTTAAAGATTTTTTAATCTTTCTATTTTATTTTGTACAGTGGGAAGAGATTGGTGAAGTGGATGAAAATTATGCCCCTATCCACACATACCAAGTATGCAAAGTTATGGAGCAGAATCAGAATAACTGGCTTTTGACCAGTTGGATCTCCAACGAAGGTGCTTCCAGAATCTTCATAGAACTAAAATTTACTCTGCGGGACTGCAACAGCCTTCCTGGAGGACTGGGGACCTGTAAGGAAACTTTTAATATGTATTACTTTGAGTCAGATGATGAGAATGGGCGAAACACTAAGGAAAATCAGTACATCAAAATAGATACCATTGCTGCTGATGAGAGCTTTACAGAACTTGATCTTGGTGACCGTGTCATGAAACTAAATACAGAGGTCAGAGATGTAGGACCTCTGAGCAAAAAGGGATTTTATCTTGCTTTTCAAGATGTTGGTGCTTGCATTGCTCTGGTTTCTGTGCGTGTGTACTATAAAAAATGCCCTTCTGTGGTACGACACTTGGCTATTTTTCCTGACACCATCACTGGAGCTGATTCTTCCCAGTTACTCGAAGTGTCAGGCTCCTGTGTCAACCATTCTGTGACAGATGAACCTCCCAAAATGCACTGCAGCGCTGAAGGGGAGTGGCTGGTGCCCATCGGGAAATGCATGTGCAAGGCGGGATATGAAGAGAAAAATGGCACCTGTCAAGGTAAGAGTTTGCCTGCGGATCTGCAGGGGCTGTCTGCTTCAGTTGGATCATGTATATGTATTTTCTCCAGTGATTATGAGCAAATGACCTTTTACTTTGCTAATTTATGGAGATTATTTCTCTCAGGTTTGATTTCTCTCTTTTCAGAATTTTAAAATTTCTGGCAACCATGAAAGATTTAATGTTATATTTTATTGCATATACATAATTAATACTCAGAGAGTGTCTGAGTTGCAGTGTAATATTTCATATTCCTTTTGCTTTCAGAAGTTTTATTTTTGAGCAACCCAAGCAAAGGGATTAGTAACTTTCATTGTAAGATTATTGTCTGCTACTGCTGTTTTCTGTCGATGAAGTTGTTTTCCACTCAGTACTTCCTGTATACAATGTGAAGCAAAATTTTAGATGAAAATTGCTTTGGCATGCTTTTAACTGGCCTTTAAAATCGCTTCAGAAATAAGTTCAGCCGTATGAACTTCACAGCAAAACATTTGTAAACTGACAGGATTAGTTTACTGAGTTGTTTACATATGGTTGCAATTACATGGTTGTTTTTTAAAATTTACAGATCAATTTTAAATGCATAATAAGTATTGTCCCAGAAAAATAACTGTTTGGAGATACAGCCGATACAAAAGGTCATTTCAAAGCAATTTGCAATGGAGGTTTTTTGTGTTTAAATTTTTCTTTTAAATTGAAACTTGATCACGCACGCTTTTCTCTTCATTTGAAAATGCCCCCTTTTTCCCCACAGTGGTGAATTGGGCTTTTAAACTTGGATATTTGTCAGTGTCTTTCAGAAACAGGATAGTATTGTATGTCAATGTAAAGAACAACTTATGGGAAGGAAAACAAACTTTTCCTCTTTAAAAAAGTTATTTTCCATCATGAACTTGAACTTGGTTTTACCATGATGTGCATTTATTAATTAGGTAATGGGAGTTAATGGTATTAAATGATGACAAAACCAAATGCTAATCAGTCCCTGAGCCCCACCTCGTAGCTCTAAGTGCATTTTTTTTTCTCAGTCCATTATATAATGTGAATCAAACTTATCCATCTGTTCAGGCTTGATTTTAGATTGATTATCGATCCAAGGAAACAAAACTGGGGAAATTACCTATAAATTATAATGACATTTGTTAATTAATTCTCTCCAGAAACTTATTGCATTGCACTTAAATTTTTTCATTCAGTATCAGCTCCTATGTTGTATCCTTACCATAACATGTACAATTAATCGTGTGGTTGTTTTTCCATGTAATCGACAATGCTCTACACCTGATTCTATATGTGTTTATACACACACACACACAAACATATTTATACATGTATACACACATGTATAGCCAAAAGTTTTGTTAAATTGAAATTATGCTTCTGAAATACTTATAAATTTGTTGGAGAAATAAATCATAGTTTGTTCAGAATTGGCTTTAAAGGAAAGTTCTAAATAACATTATCTTAACTTTTGAGTAATCTTACTGGTTTCAGATGAGGTTTTATTGAAGGATCAGAATCAGGGGTTAAAAACAATCTATTGAATATATTTCTGTCTAAAATATTCTAAATATTCTAAATCTTAATTATTTCGAAAACTTTATTAGTATTGTAAAAAGTAAATGACCCATTTGATTGTTTATATGTTTATATAATTTTAGAGAATATGTGGTTGCTTTATTTCAGACCACAATGACTTTGCCTCCATTCCTATTGACAGAGGGTGTAAGAGGTCTCTGCATTTTTAGGAGGTAAATTTTGATTATGTTGGTACTTACCATGAAAATATCTTGGAGACGTTGTGTTCTGACAGAATGTTTCTCAAAGCATTTAACACACATCTCTTCTTTCTCTCCTCCACTCTTGGATTGGTAAGTGGGAAGTAGAGGCCTGAGAGACAGTGGGATGGACTTGGAGAGATTGCACTGTTAAAAACTCTGCTGACTGGATTCTGTCTTAATTCATGTATTTATTACCCTACTCTGGTAGCAAGAACAATGGCTGCAGGGAGTCATACAGTCTGTTGAATACACAACAGTGGTTCCCAGCTTTTGTGGCACCAGGGACCGGTTTCATGGAAGACAATTTTTCCACGGATGGGATGGGGTGTGTAGGCGGAGCTCAGGCGGTGATTCTGGAGTGTGGGGAGGTGCTATAAGTACAGATGAAACTTCCCTAGCTCCCCTGCCTCTCACCTCCTGCTGTGCCACATGGCTGCTAAGTTTCATGGAAGACACTTTTTTCATGGTGGTAGGAGAATGGGGGTGCCGGGAGTGAGGGGTGGAGTCTGAGCTCCGGCGGTGATGTGCAGCCTGTTTCCTAACAGGCCATGGACCAGTAGGTACCAGGCCACAGACCGAGAGTTGGGGACCACAGAGCTACAGAGTGTTCTACACAGTGCAGCCTATGTAAATAATGCCTTTTGGTGTTTTACAATGTACAAACAGTAAATAGTGGCACTTTTATTCTATAAACTTATTCAATGATAAATAAATGTTGAAAGTTTGCTTTGGAGAATTAAAGCATCACAGATATTGTTGAGGCATTCTGTCTATACATAATATGTAAGTGCAGATGTGTGTGTTGTGTGTGATATAAAATGCCACCACAGTCAGTTCTAACTCATTCTGTGATCTTAATGTGCTATGCTCAAACCTTCAAGTGGAGATTCTGATGTTTTAGAACTATCCTACCAACAGGCCAGAAATCTAGGAATTATCCTTGACATCTCCTTCCTACTCACTACCCATTTCCAATCCATCTTAAAGAGTTTGTAGAAATTGCCACACTACTATCTCTTAAAATCAGCTACTTTCCGCTATTTTCTTTTTCCTCCTAGAAGTGAACCTTGTTGGAACTTTATTTTCAAATATAATGAATATAACATTATATAGAGTTTTGATTTTTTGAGCCATGTGAATGTATCACCTATACAAAAATGCAAATCTCATTTCACACACCCATTAACCCCTGCCACCACACACACACACACACACACACACACACACACACACACACACACACACACAATTTATACACTTCAGTGGTTTTCTTAAAGAAAGATTTTTTATAGTAGCTTTAAATGCTGCATAGTTTTGTTCCTGTTATCTGTCCTGACTTATTTTAAACTGTGCTTCCTCCCCTTCCCTATGCACTAGCCATGCTAGTTTTTTCAATTTCTCAAATGCAGTGCACTCACTTTCACTATGCGAAATATTCTTCTACCTACTTTATGTCTGGTTAGCACACACTAATCCTTCAGGTCTGTGCTCCAATATCTCTTCTGCAGAAAAGCTAGCCTTGACTGTTCAAGACAAGGTCACCTCACAGCTGTTTGCTTATTTATCCTTTCTTCACAGAGCCATTTAGAGTTATTATTTTGCACCTCTTTGTTGATTTATTATCTGATTAATGATTTTCCCACCCCATTAGACTATATACTTCTTGATGCCAAGGGTGGTGTCTGTTAATTTAAGGACTGAGAAAGAAATCAAAAGGCAAGAAGAAGGGAAAGTGAATTCAAGAGAGAGAAAAGGAAATGTACAAAGATGTAAAAGCATACTGTGTTTTTAAATACCGTGTTTCATCCATTTATTTTACTTTTGTATTTATATGTAGAAAATCTCCTTGGTCTGAAAATTGACCAGTGTATCTTTTAAATTTGTCCTTTCTTAGTCCTAAGACTCTCAGGCAAAATTCTCAAGTTCCAGATATTAAATAATATATGATTGGCACTTCATATATTAACTATTATAGAGGCCATTTTAGTGAATTTTATAGGGTCCAAAACATCTTATATTGAAATATAATTATAATATGGCCTTATTACATAATGACTCTAGTCAGTTTCTTCAATAAACAATGTTAAGATTTATTAAGGAAATAATTATATTAAAAAGCTAAAGTTTTAATATGTCTGTGGTAATGATTTATTTCCTGAGTCTGTGCTAGAGAGTGACCAAGTAGTCACTGTCAGATTATGCTTCTGTGACCTGTCATATATGTGGAGCATAGTGAAGTTAACCCAAGGCCTTTTAGAGAGTAAAGTCTTCAGGTTTTAGAATGCTAGGTAGCTCATTAACGTGTGGTTTCAACAGTAGACAACCATTCAGGAGTCTTGGCCAAATTAGCAATTTGTGTTCTGTCATCTTCATATAACTTCTCATTTGAATTCCTTTAAGAGAAATAGACTACTTTACCCTTAATCTGGTTTTGATGAGGTAATAAAATAGTATGGTTTCTATTGTATTAACTTAAAATACAGTGTGCATTTATTTTGGTAAGGCTTACTTATACACCTACATTTTCTATAATAAACTGCTTTAAGTATACAAATTTATTTCCTTGAAATGTTTTTTTTTATTTTCAGAAACAAGTAATGTCCCAAATCCATTTATCCAAGTATGTTTCCCTAGTTGTTATTTATTATTATTTCTGATGAAATTCATGCTATTTTTTCCCTTAAGAGTCATGTGAATTTTTTTTTTTTTCTGAGTACAAAATGGTTGGCAAAAACCCATTTTGGAAGTTTCTGCTTTTTATTGAAGTGAATGTGTTTGACAGAAGTAATTGAGTTCACATGAATCAAATGTTGCCTGCTGAGTTCTCTTGTGATTATGTTGCTGACTTACTTAGATGCAAGGCAAGACTACTAATCTTCATCAGTTGCTAGTGGAATGAAGTAGTAATTTGAAATTAGCCCTAGATAATTATAGTTTCACTTATATCAAATGGAGGAAAGAGATTTAGATTGTGGGTCATTGCCAAAACCAGTCAGAGGGAAGAAGGTATATAGTGCATTCTAAAATAGAGGATATAAGCGGGGTTAGACGTCAAGGACTATGGAGAAAAAGCACTTATTAATTGTCCAACTGGGAGATGATTGCACAGCAAGGGAAATGTAGTGAAAATACCCAACTTGAGAAAAAGCCTTGATTCAGAAAGAGTACAGACACAGCAGAGAGTACTATGTCGATCATTTGTACTCCTGGTACATATTT